GATATGAAAATAGATGTTTCTCACCTTTTCTTTGAAATCCAAGAACTAATATGTAGGTAGTCTAGTACCTAGTACTTCCAGTACTTAGGTACTAGAAAGCATCGTTTACACATATGTGCTTTTATAGCGGTGGTGCAGAGCTCACTAAAGCGTTTTCTCTGCTAGACCTTCTAAATGAAGGTGTTTGAGCACTTCACAAACGTGCTGCTGCCAGTTCCCACCTCTCCATGATAAAGCGTTGTTCAGACAACTTTAAAATAGTTATTTCTTTTTTGTCCTTATAACCAAGACAAACGAATTCTCAATGTTATACAGCTTTCATCTGAAATAGTCTTTATGTTAATAAACAACAAAAAAAAGTAAAAAAAAAAAAAAAAAAAAAAGAAAAGAAATCTGTTAATCTTCAACTAGATTCCTTTTCCTGCTGCCTGAACAAGTTGATTCCAGTGCAATTTGCACAACTGGGCAGGCCTGCAGGTGGTCAAAAACATTCAGGGTAGGTGGCCATTTAACACAGCGTGAAGTAAAACAAAATACATAGTACATTTGAAAGGGATTTTTGACCAGAGTGGTTAAATAAAGACTACTCTTACATATTTGTTTCTCCCCAAAATTTGAAGTTTCTTATCAATCTGTGGCTTGTTTCTGTTGAATCCCTAGATAGACCAGTGGTTCAACATAAAGCATCAGCTCAATAATTCTGGGATGAGCTCATTCAGAAAACATGACTTGGAAAAGAGTCGTTAAAAATACTCTATAATTAAGTTATGCTGAGGCATCATCAGAATGCACGGGAGGTTAGCTTTAAAATGTAGACAATTTTAGAAAGAGAAATATCTATATTGAAACTTCATAAAACATGAGGAGGAACAGTCGTCAATATTTACATACGTATAGACTGGTATTTTTGTGTAGCAGTATCCACATTAAATAGCAATAATAGAGTACAAGTGAATGGAGGCTCTCTGGGACTCTAAAGGTTCCAAGACAATATTTTTAAATACTAGACATACAAGAACAGTTCATCTGGAAAGAGTTTTAATAAAGACACATTAGTGACAGCATCTGTGGATGTTTCCTAAAAATAGCAGAATTATTTGGAAAGAAAGATGATTATGTTTTGATGAATTATAGGAACATCACCTTCTACCTGCAAATTGGAGACGGCTGTAAATAATATCCTGAAATACCTTGGCCATTAGAAGACAAAACTATAAAAAAAGACTCTCCCAAAGTATCACCAGATGTATAAGATGCACTACTAATGTCAACTTTTATCGGCAGGAACAGGGGTGAAATTCAGATATGTGAAAATACTTGCTCTGTCTCTTTAGATGACATTTACATTAATTATGTTTAAAAATATCCACTACGGTTAAAATTTAAAGCTTTAAATATAAACTATGTTAAGAAAATTTTCATTATAAAATCCAAACAGATTGCTGAGCCAGTCAATTACAAGGTTATAGGTATTCTTATATAATATTTACACAAAGTTAAATAACATGGTTCAGTTGAATAATACAAATAATACTTTGTTAATGAGTACTTCAAATTTAAGTTACAGGTTTTGTGAACTATTTTTTTATGCATGTCAATCCTTGCAGAGTTTACTTTTTTTTTTTTTTTTGCACACCTATAGCTTTCAGGATTTAAATAATAAAGCTTATCCATGTGATTTTTTTTGTTGGTTGTTTTGGGTATTTTTTTATTTTGAATTTCAAATGAAACGATGCAAAAAATGAATAAAGTCATGACCCAAAAAATGAAAAATGTATCATAATCCTTTTAAACATTGGAAGCATTAATGTATGTATGCTAAACTGTGTAACTTAAGTTACACTCTAATGTTTGAGCATATATTTATGTGTCCTTCTGACTAGGAAGAAAAAGTACCAAGTTTAGCATAATGACGATCTATAAACAAGTATGAGTATATGTTAATGGCTAACAGCCAGGGACACTAGGACTTTATTTAGGAAAACAAGAATTAGAAATACTAAATTAGATTAATATTAGCTGAAGTAAGTTAAGTAAGCTCACTAATTTAAAGTTAAAATGAACTCTCATTAGAAAAAAATTTTGTGAATTCTGCATGTATACATTAAGGAAAAAGTCCTATAACAAAGCAGTATGATATATATGGCCCCTGAGAGGAAACCTCCATTCTTTTTCTCTAATAATAGTTTAATTTTCCTATAGTAAAAGTGGATCCTTCCTGTTTGTACAGTGAAAATGTCATTTTGAAAAGTCTACTTATTGCACTGTTAATTGTGAACAAATATTTTGGCTACACATACTTTGTCAGCATTCATGAATAACTGCCATTAAACACCAGGAATTGAATGGCAGATTAGAATTAAAGGCAATGCTCTATGTTTAAAAATATATAACTTAATTTTTAATATAATTTTTCTTCCATCTTACTTCACACCTGTGTTTTTCCTGTTCCCCCACAAATACTCATGTACATTTTGCTACCAAAGCTACGGGTGTAGGTTTTTTGTGTAATTCGTATGCCTGTGTATGCATTTGTGGAACTGCATCCTGGATTTCTATCTTGCAGTGAGCCCTGATATTGAGAGTTTTCCTGTATTCCGAGTACAACTGCTGTCTATTCTTCTGTCTCGATTCTTAGGAAGTGCCAGTGCTTCGGCAAAGCAGAGAGTTGTTCCATTGCCTAGCGTGTGAGGATTGACCCAAAAACCCCTCGTGGATGATAGGTGGAAAAGCCAGTGCTGCTTTCTGAGTGTTTCAGGGTTTTTTTTATATTTACCTCCAGATATTTCACACACATCTCTTTTTTCTTTTTTTTTTTTTTTAATGTTCCTGTTGAGTGAGACTGCTTGGAAAGAGGAGAGTTAGCTGCGTATCTGTTTCTCCTGACCACTTAGCCACAGTTTCAGTATGTTTCTGTTTAGGGATGTTCCAATCATTTCTGTAGTTCGCTAGCTGTTAGTTTTCTCAAGTTCCTTCCTCTCATTGGTTACAAATAAGGTCTGGCATTGAAGCAATGATGGTATTTCCTTTTGGAGTCAGCTGTCACTATATAGATTTCTTCAGTCATATCTGACTAAGATAGACTAAGTAACTGGAGAAGCTGTCTAAAAAATGGAACAGGACAAGTCCGGCTTACTAAACCTTCTGAGTCTAGTAGTATTACTGAAATCCCTAAGTAAGATACTGCTGTGCTTATATGGGCCATCTTCCTGCTCCAGGATTGAATGGGTCAGAGGCAGACTGCAAAGAAAAGACCTTGAGGATTTTTCAGCAGCTTTTTGTGCTCTTTTCTTATACCATTCTCCTTTGTCAAAAACCCACTCCCTCTGAGGTCAGAAAGTCATATAGTCTGGGAATTTCGCTGAAAAATTCTTTTGAGGCAGAGCTGATCTTTGGTAATCCATGTGGTTTCCATCATTTTTCATCCAAAGTTATAGGATATAAATTATCCCTCTTTGTCACGTGTAGCTAAGTGCATAGAGATGAAGTTGATGCAGGCGATGTCAAGATACTAGATTAGGTATAGGAATAGAAACATCAGGGATAACATGAATGTGGAATGTTAGAAAAAGTCACAGCCGTCACCGCCGCTGCTGGGGCCTGCCATGCTGTGAGGTTAAGTCATGCACCCCCATGCAGTGGGAGAGGTAGCCAGACTTGGGCAGAAAAATGCAGGAGGAGGTAGTGATGCAAAAGGTTCTTTCTGCAGGTTTCCAAAAGCAAAGTCCAGCACAACACCTGGGACGTTTGGCATACTCAGCCCTTTGCCTGACTCAATCAAGGAGAGCAGCAACACATAGTGAAGTCAATGAAGCAGAGAAGGGTTTATAATCAATCATTAAGTGGCATAGCAATAAATTTTATGTATTGTAGATAACTTGATTGCTAATCTCTGCTTTCTAAGGAGCTGGTTGGAATATCTGACCTGCAGCTCAAGCTTGTTGACCCAGGAATATATAGTCTTTTTTTTCCCCTGCCTTAGAGGTAGGGAGGGAAAGCCTTATGTAGAAATAACGTGCATGAACGTATTTTAAGTAGTTCCATTACAATGTGCAGTCTTTTAATTTCCTAAAACAGGAGATGCAGCAGTTTATGACAAAGTGATAAATTATTCTTTTTTCTTTAAGGCTTTCTTTATCAGCGCAAACCTACGCGGTTACTGTCTCCTGGAATAAAATGCTAGCTTGACTGACTTGGTTACAGATGGTGTCCAGATGATTGTGAGGCCGATCCTGTTCCAGGAGTGAGTTACCACGCCAGGTGTGATAAAGGCACAAGGCCCAATATTCGGGGCATGGGAGAAAAATGTATTCAGTGAGACCCTGAAAAGGACAGCGATGCGGGTAGCTTAGGAACTGCCAGCTCTGTCAAACAGCTCTTGGCCTTTGGTAATTATTACAAGCTTGTGCTCCCATGGAGCTGTCCTTTCCCCGCTGTGTCTCCTGGGTTCTGTACTCCCTAAAGCAGATTCTTGTTATTAAGCTGCTACAGTCTTTACACTAGACATGGTCTTTCTGTGTTGTGCTCCTTCCAACTCAATGGACCTCCAGGCTCTCCTGCAATACAAATACTAATAAAAACTGTATTAAACTTGTCAAGCACTGTTCCATCCTGTATAAATTATAGCACAGTTCTTGTGAATGCTCATCTGTGCCAGCTTAAAACTTTGTGTTCGTGAATGTTCTTGCAAGTTATGTTTGACTGTGCAAACTATCATCTACTCAGGAAACGAAGAGGGTAAAAGAACATACATATATATGTGTGTGTGTGTATAAAAAATTCAGAGTACTCGAGAATGATATATAAATATACTTGTTTTTTTCTGATGTGTTCTCAGCAGTGTTTTAAAAATATCTTAGAATGTTTTCAGTATGGAAAAAAAATGCTGATTAAGAGTATTAACTGTATTACCCCTGTTAAAAACAGATAACTTCTGAAGAAAGATCAATATTATTACTCATTCTAGTCTCTACTCCTTTTTTTTTCTTTTCTTTCTGTAGATATCAATGAATGCCAGTTGCAGGGAGTATGCCCTAATGGTGAGTGTTTGAATACCATGGGCAGCTACAGATGTACATGCAAAATGGGATTTGTGCCAGATCCGACTCTCTCCAGATGCGTACGTAAGTAATAATGCTGATCAGAGCACCAAAATGAACTTGACAGTGCACTTGAGAGGTTTATTTGACTGGTCCCAACTATCCCACTTCTTGCTGTCCTTGCCTCTCCATGTCAGCTTACTCACTTCAGTTAGTCAGAGCACCCGTGCTTTGTGCTTCTTTTCTGTCTCCTTGTCCAGGAAACTTTAGTTTCCCCTTACAGCCTTCCAGGCTTCTTGCCTGGCTTCCATGGTTTTCCTGACACAAAATCTTCCAGGCTACATCCAGCCTCTTCATCCCCTTTCAGTCTTTATCAGCTGACTAGAGTCCTCCTTGACACAAAACCTTCCGTCTCTGCTAGCACCCCAGTCCAAATTGTCTTGGTCTGTGTCCCTTTTCCACTCCTGCAGTTTTCATCTGGACAGTTTTGGTTACTGTTTTTTAGGAAGCTGAAAGCCACCTCCCTTACAGAAAGACCATTTTCCTCTCCGAGGGCCACTCTTAAAATCTTTGTCCCACAGCATTAGAGCTTTGGGCTATGGGGCAAAGCTACATAAAATCTTGGTGTTGGTAAAGCAATTCATTTTTTCTAGTCCAAGCATTTGGAAAGGCTGGACAGTTTAAATTTATAAGATAATGTAAGATCAAATTGAAGCATACAGAATGTGTTTTAGAATGGATTTTTTTAAAATTCAATGAATTTTAAGAGAGATAAATTTGTAGTGTTAAGCGTCAAGGAAATTTAATGATAACTATTGGTCATAGTACTACCTTGTTGCCAAGAATGAAGTTTCTTTAAACACAAATATCATGGTGTAACCATGTGAATGTGAGCTGTATTAGAGAGTACTTTATCATTTTTGTCTTCCTTATTCTTGTTTCCTAAGGTGTAGATACCTTTATGTCTCAATCACTGGATATTTTCTCGCAATGAGACTTTAGGTGGGAGAGAAATAAGCAAATAAATTTGAACCAATTTTAAGAGAAGTAATTCTGATTTCTTTATAGCATAGGTTGCACTGTTTTGTTACTGTAGCAAGAGAAAATGAGATAATGAAAAGCTGCTATCACCTTGATAGAATAGCAGTTTTTAATCAGCGTTTAATTATGCAATATAAAATCAAACATGGACAATACAAACAATTAATTTTTCTTCCAATGTAATGTTGTAAACAGTCAAGCCAGTAACAAAACATAATGTGTTTCTCAACTGAAGAGCCTAAATTGGGGGGAATTGGATCAATTGTATGGTAGCTGTGTCTGTTATACAGTAGCTGTGTTAGTTATATGGTAACTGTGTCATCTCTGAATGAACTACCTGAAAAATACTGCTGTATTTTGAGTGGATTTGCTTTGCTGTGTTTTTGTTTGTTTGTTTGTTTGTTTGTTTGTTTTTAAAGAAGTGTAGAAGTGCCTGATCTGGATTTTAGTTACTAAGCTGCAATGACAGTAGCAATCTATGAGTGTCAGTATAAAATTTTGGACAGACTGATGTAATTTGCTTCTCAGAGGAGAGAAATTGGTCTGTAATGAGTGAACTCCCTGTTGCTGTGGTCGAAGTGCTACATGTACATGAACTAGCTGGTTAAATAGGCTCACGTGTCTCTACATTGTGCTGCTAGCAAGACTGTAAATGTGGCATAGACATGCTTTTTGAATTAAGTATTGTATTTATTTGTTTAGGTGGTTTTTGAGAGAGCATGCATAAGCTTTCAGATGAACACATCAGTATGAACAAGAGAATTTTCGCACATCCGAGAAGTCGGATTTTAAGGCATTCTATTATTCTGACTTTTTTTTTTTTTTTCCCTAAGATATAAACTGCACCTGGAAGGCTTCCAGCTCCATTATAGCACAGCCATGATATAATGCTCATAATATTAATGAAGCCTTGTTTCTGGAGAGCAGTTCACAGATTAATGGGTAACAGAGCCAGAAACAACTACCCAGATTAGCCAGGCTAATTCGCTACATGTTTAAGATTATGTTTTATGTCACTTCTTACTTCTAAGTGCCAGAGCTTTGAGCTGGGAGCAGTGCCCAATGGAAGGCTGCACAGACCCCTCCGTTAGCATCGTCTGGAGCTTGAAGACTAAGTGCACTCCATGAGACTAAACTGGAAGTCAGTGCAGACAACATTTAGGTCAGAAAAAGACTAGAAAGATGAACAAAGAACGGTATTCTATTTTCACGTATAGATTAAGTCACGGATGATTTAGAGAGGGGAAAAATAATAGACCAGAAAAAACAACTCCCTTTGTGATTAAGCAGCTGTGCAGATTAGATATGTCTTGGAAAATCCACGGGGGAATTTTAACTGCAAACCCATTTCCAAAGCAATCTCCCTTCTGATTTCACCCAGATCAACTCCTCGGTGGCCTTTGTTGCCCCTCTCTCTCACTTTCTTTGGGTTATCCTAAGATGCAGGAATGTCCAAGAACGGCTTCAAAAGCGAAGTTGCACTTAAGATTTTGTAAAATGCATGAAAACTCTGTGATATCTGGGGATACATTGTGATTCTAGCAAGACAGCACTTTCCATGCTTGCACATGAGCTGAAGTCAGCTGCTCTGGGTTCAGGGAAACTGAATATTACCCTCCTTTGGCATCTATTTCTAAGCGTGCATATCAAAGGTGTGATGCCACCAGCACCTCTCAAGATTTACTGTCACTTGGCTGTTTAAAATATTTCTTTTCTTTCTAAATCTGTCTAGCTGAGTAATATCTAACACCTAAAAACACCTCCATAAATTGCCTTCCCCTGCATTAGACTAAGGCGAAATGTAATCAAGCTTGGAATAATTATTTGGCTGCACAACTGAAAAAAAAATAAAGGCTGTAAGTAACTGGTATGGTATAAAGAAGAAGAGAACCTCCAGGGCAAGCAGGGAACTAGAAAAGAAGTAGTGTATAGTCACCCTGAAAATCAACAGATTTCTATTCTTATAGCTGTTTTCCTATTAAAGTTTATTAAACATGCAGCCAATGATAATCTTCCTCATATTTTCCTCCTGATTAAGAAGGATTAAAAATTAAGAAAGAATTTTCGAAAGAAGTTGTAAACAGCATGAATACAAATAATTTCCTGTTAATCAGCTTTTACTTGATTTGAGATCCACTGCCTCTGCAAGGCCAAAAGAAAGCATAGAGAACAACTGAATTTCTCACTTTAAAGTCTCTTGGGAAGAAGATTGACAAGTGAAAATGACCTTATTTCATAAGCTCCTTATCAGAGGTATCTCTAGATTTATAAAATACAGTATAGGCTAAATAACTCATAGGTGATTTTTTTTTTTCTGTTTTCAAGATCATAATCTGAAGCTAGTGGTTGATGAAATTCATTGAGGGAGGTTTTCATCATTCTGAAGTTTTTTTTTTTTTTTTTATCATTTTTGAGTTGAACACGAGGAAAATAGGGAGCTGGCAGTAAACTTTAATTTTTGCTTTTACACACCATATTGAAAAATCAAATATTGCTTGTCTTTTTTACCCAGAACTGTTATCTATATAAGAATATAGATACATAAATATAAAAGCTAGATAGGTCTTTGCTTCACATTACCTCATACCAGTCATGGCTCATGCCTTTTGTCGCTTCATGCTAAAGGAATCTGTTAGGAACTTGTTTACCATTTTGGACCAAGGAATTTTAAATTTCTGTGCAAGTTTCAAGTTTGGAAGTGAGAAGGAAGAACATGGTGTTGGAATGCATGTAGTCTATGATATGACACATTGTTTTATTGAGTATATTAGTAGCCTAGTTAAGGAAGCAGAGTCCAGAATGGTTTTAAAATAATTCCAGTTTGGCAGCAATTTTATATAGAATATGTCTGTCATTTGACGCATTAGCATGTATTGGAAAACAGTGAGACTTAGCAAAATAGAAATATATAATTGTCTCCCATAAATAAATGCCTGTATGATAGATACTTTTGTGGTTTTATTTATATAGCTTATTTCTAGCTAAATGCTGCAGTGGCTGTATAACTTGTCACTACTATAAATTACTTAAGCAATTGCACTTGTGTACATTTACAGGAGCTGATTTTAATTGTTTTGGCGAGTTGGCAGCTCCTGGCTTGGAAATAAGCTTCTGTTCTTCAAAAATCTATTTCATGATTGTTTTAGAATGGGTTTGAATTTGGGAATGTTTTAATGCCAAATAAGCTTTTTTTTTTCCATAGATATTAGATAGATTGTAGATTGTAATTATGGCTTCAGATAAGTGTTTGAAATGAAAAAAAAAAATCTACAAATGAGAACATGAATCCATTTAATGGATGCTGGAAACCTGGTGATGGTTTCTTTTGAAACCATCTTTTGAAACCATTCTTTTGAAAATTTCTTTTTCATGTGAACCATACCCTCCTCTCTTCTCCTTGCAGCTGACAGTCCTATGGTGGCAGAGGAGAAGGGGCCCTGCTACCGGTTTGTCAGCGCGGGGAAGCAGTGCATGCATCCTCTGTCTGTGCAGCTCAGCAAGCAGCTCTGCTGCTGCAGCGTTGGCAAAGCCTGGGGCCCCCACTGTGAGAAGTGTCCCCTGCCAGGAACAGGTAAGAACTGCCCGTTAAAAGTAGAAGCTCTCTCTCACCCTATGCTAGATTTTAAAAAAGAATCCGGTGCTTGATTAAAAAGGAAAGAAGTATCCAACAGTAAATGATGACAGTTCTGCAAGTGATGATAGAATAATTAAGTATATATTATTTTTGTTCATAAGCGTTCAAAATTAAAATAATGTTCTTTGGTATGTAGTGGTAAAATTCTGGTCTCACAAATATTTGCATCTCAGACTGTAATTGTAAACATTGAATCTCTATCACATAAAGGTAAGTGTATAGGCTTTTAAATTCTGATTATAAACACGGGCAAATTAAACCAAAGTCTGATGAATGCTTTAAGCTGTAGGTGAAAGGATGGCAGTAATGGAGAATTAGTTCATAGTATTGTGTGTGCTGCAGTTTCCATTACAGCTGTTGGATATGAGGAGGAGTACTTTGCTGTTTTCCCACCTTCCTTCAAATCTTTTTGAGAAAGATGCCAAGTATGGTATTGACTTCTTAACAGTGGCTGGAAGTTAAACATCTCCTGCCATCTTTCACTTAAACTACTGCTTGCTCGAATATATAAAGCCCACTTGTACTATCGGTGTTCACTTTGAGTCCTACTAGTTTTTAAGTATAAAAGGACTCTGTAAATACCAGCTTGGCTGATCACCACTCTTAAGTTCATGGAGTAAAATACTGCTTATTAGAGATTAAGATATTTCTCACCACTTTGTGAGAAAGCTCAAAACTTAAATGACTGAATTTGGAGTCTTCAGCCAAAACCTAGTGAATATTACTTTGCATTCAAATGTGTAATCAAATTTATATATATATACACACCATTACTCAAATTTCTATTATTGAAAGAAACTCTAATGTATATGATGCCCAGCAGTATATTAATACAAGTATTTGTAACTATAGTCCACTCTTTTTACTGAAGTTGCTGCTGCAGATGTCACTTTTAAATTATGAAAAAGATATGTATTTCTCTGAAACATTTTACTGAGTGAATTTTGGGAATCCAATGCTAACATCTGAGACATGAGGACTTTAGAGAGTACCATATTCCTGATTATTTCAGTTAAGCATACAAAAATTAAAACAACCATTTTTTTTGCGCATTTGAATTGATTTTAAAGCTATTGTTTCCTATGTGATCATTTGCTTGCTGATTTGTGTTTTAGAAGTCCAGTTGGTTTTCTGGTAAATATTTCTATTACTTTTCAGTGGAGCAAAAATATTCTCACCAGATGACTAGCAGTTTAAATGCAGATGCTTTATATCTGTAACAACATTGCCTAAATTCACGAGGCTTTATGCCCAAACTTATATGTAATCTGGAGTGAACAGATCGCTCCTTTTTGCATATTGACTGTCCTCTACTCGTAAAAATACATCATAGCATATCACATGCATCTGTGATTTTAGTAACTGTTCTTAAAGCAAGGATAGAACCTGTGAGTAGAAAATTCTGATAAGCCAGCTGGGAAACAGTTTTTCACAATAACTTTCATGATTTGAAACCATATTCCTTTTTATAACAGAATAATTTCATGATGATCTTTTAGAGTCCCCATGAAAAATGTGCAAAAGTGGGATAACTCAGAATGGAATAATGTATTTACCATAGCATCCAAGGTTAATTCCAGAATTATTTGGCTAAAAAGCCATCATCTCGCGCTCTGATGGCCTTTTAATTATTTGTATGAAGTGGAGCAGCTCCGAAGAGAGCCTGAGGCCCACTCTGCATACCTGGGTTTAGAGAGCCCTCAAGTCTGAGTTGTGGTAGAGTAAGATACAGATTTCTGTTCTTCATTTGAGAGAATGCGATTTGAACCAAGACTTCCTACACCCCAGGTATGCATCTGTCAAAGGACAGATTTCTATTTTTTTTTCCTGTCTTCCTATTTGAGCAGACATTCTACTCTTGATTGGATGTTTTTGTAGCAAGTTTTGGTTTGGGCATTTGCCCCCCAAAAGTGTTTTGTTGTTCTGAACCCACTGAATTTAATGAGTTTGACCATTCATCATTTATATTACTGAGTCTCCATCTCACCAAGCTTCCAAAAGTCCAAAATCTGCAGTTGGGTAATTTAATCAGTTAATCTCTGGAGTGTCCATAGCTACTATTTGCTGTCCTTATTTTAGATACACATTCTTTTTTAAAAATGCTGATGTGTTTTTCAAAGCAGAATTTGTGCCCTCATTGATGCCCCACTCCACACAGCTCTTAGGGTCACATCACATGGGAGACCAGATCTTTGGTGCTTCGTCCCAAGCTTATCCTCGACATCTAGAGCAATGAGTGCCACGAAGCACTGTCTGTCAAGCCCTGAAGCCTCCTGTCCCTAACAAGTGCACAGCTATTACCTTTGGCAGGGAGGAAGGCTGATGCTTTTTCATGCTAGTCTTCCACTGCTGGACTGCAAAACCTGGTGCTAGTGCTGCCATAACTTTTTTTTTTTCTGTTGCAGTTTTATAAATGAGATTATTTCCCTTCTCCTCCAGTGATGATTTGACTCTCTTTATGATCCTCATCTTGTTTTTATCCAGCCCACTGCTGTCAGTGGAAAAACTTATTCAATTCAGTGGTATTTGGATCAGAGCTGATATGAGACTTCTAATGTAGTGAAATGGTATCCTGTGAATGAATGTTGTTGCTAATTGACATTTTTTATGCTCCTCTAGCACAGGGGTGGTGAGCTTTTTCTTTGGTTTCTGCAAAAACAAAAAAAGGATATGGTAGAAATAGTATTTTTCGCTCCTTTTGTTATGTAGATGATGACGATAATTTCTCTCTATAAATTCCTACTCAGAAAGGATGTTCTGTTTGCATAGGAGTAAGAAAGAAATGATGTGATGCTAGATTAAACATAACTGAAGGAACTTGTTAAACTGGAGTAGAAATCTCCTTTGAATAAACTGAGCCAGAACGTGGTTTGGGGAGAATGTTCAGTCGTATTAGCATGTAGCACAGTTTGCTTCTTGTTCTTTTTTTTTTTTTTTTTTTTTTTTTTTTTCTTTTTATTCCATGAAAATGTATATACAGTAGGACATTAACTTTATTAGTGGTTTTAATTATATTTTCCAATATGTCAACATATTGCACTTTTAGACTCCTAAAAGGAATATTTTCCCATCCCAAATCTAGCTGCTTTTAAGGAAATCTGCCCTGGTGGAATGGGTTATACGGTTTCTGGCCCTCACAGAAACAAGCTATATCATCACCCTGCAGTTAGAGTACAGCCACCTGTCATTGGCAAGACCCCGATTACTCAACCTGTTGCTAAAGGTACTTCTCCTCCACCTCTCCCAGCAAAGGAAGAGCCAGTGGAGGCACTGACCTTCTCACAGAAAAGTGAGCCTGAGGTGGCTGTGCAAGAAGGTGAGAGTGGCAAAGTTCAGTCTTCCTATTTTTCTGTGCATGTGTCTTTATTAATGTGTGTATTAATGTGTTCCCAGTCGTGGGGTGAGTTGTGTTAAATGGTTTACTGCCTGTAGTTCCTTCTAGATCCTGTAAGCACCGTAGAGAGAGATCACTTTGATTAGTTTTTATGATAAGAGCAAGTATTGGTTTATAAGGCTTCTTGGAGGTATTAAGCATCTCCATACTGTAACGAAAGATTCCTCTTGGGCATTGGTCTACTAGTATTTGGGGTTGCAGGAGTCAAGGGGTTTTCATCGTCTTTGTTCTACACACATCTCTACATCGTCAGCACGCGATGTGGTCTGGTCTCACTCCTGCAATCCTGCCCTCTCCCAGCACAGCCACCTTGCCTCAGCTTCCCTCTGCCTGGCTTTTCCATGATTAGTCGGTTTCTCTAAGATGATTTTCTCACACTTTGTATGGTTTTCTGGAAGCTACTCTAAGAGCATTGAGAAGCTGAAAATATCCTGTGCTTAATAAAACACAGAAGCAAAGACTTGCAGAAAGCAGCACTGTCATAAATACATCGTCAACAAGCCTGGCTGTTTAAAATATATAAGAAAGATCATTTAAAATATATAAAAAATGGCTTACTCTGAGTTAGTGATAGCATATAGGCATGTTTGAATTTTATACTCTACTTTTGGATATGTTTGCATCTCAGATTTTTGAGATTTGATCAAAATGTCTTCTAAATCTGCTAATCAGCCTCCTTGCTAATGCTGAAGAAATTAGAGCTAGAAGAGCAAATATATATACATATATATTTTCCCCCGCTAAAAGATATTGCTTTGGAAAAGAAAATTATTCCTGATTTGTTTTTTAAGGAGTCATATAGTAAAAGACATCAGTTAAAGACAAATTTTAAAATGCAAAGAGTAGCAGAAAATAAACTTATATGATATTTCTGTCAATTACTCTTTATCTTTCCTTCCTAGAGAAAATTCATTTTGGGTGGAAAAATCACTTTCAGTTATTAAAAAAAAAAAAACAAAAAATCAAAAATTGAGCCTTTAAATTGAATTATTGAACTCAAATTCGTTGGTAGTTAGCTTTATGTCATTACAATATGATTTTACCTTTAAAATGTGTATAGAGACTGATATTTTGTTAAATTGATTTTAGAAGTTAAAATCAGCCTGTTAAATGAGCTCGTTAATAACCAGAGAGCTCTTTGAATGGCTTGGCAATATCTAAGGAAGCAGTTTAGAAATATAAGAGGAGACCGAAAGCTGCAGAAATAGTTGTGAGGATTGGTTGCTGCATACAATCTTATTCCATTTTCCGATTACATTCGCTCAGAAACATTATTTCAAATTTAAGGTGCTTTAGATGATAGCATGAGAATTTTCTATGATGACAGACACTATTTTTAAACATGATCATAGTTTTAAAGAGAATGTGTGAGTAAAGAGTATGAGAAGACTGATTAATTTTTTTTCTTTCTGTTTTCAGTGGCAACAGCAGCCCCTGATCAGGTAAAACACAAAAGCATTTTGACCCTTGAGCATGCTGGTACTTCAGAGGAATGTACTGCTGGAACTACGGAGTAATCGCACTGAGTTTCTTGTCCTTCAGACTTCAGGGGCCAGTTTTTATACGTTTCTTTTTTTTCTGATTGATTTATCCAAAGACCGTTAACATCAGGAAGAAGCAGCAGCTCAGGGACATGAGCCCGGATTCTCTGAGTCCCTGTGTTATATGTAGATATTAGAACGCCGACCACATGCACAAGATGTGGTGTGGGGGCTGTGAAAAGGATTTGGGCTTCACAGGCAGCAAGCACCTCACTGCAGACCTACAGTGCCTACCTGGAGGCAAAAAGATCCTATAGTTGTTAGATATAAAAACAGGCAGATAGGGAAGTAAAGGAAGGAGATGACTTTAGCCTCTCTTTAGGGCATTAGCAGTGAGTCTGTGCTTGTATATGGGTTTTGGGAGCCTATATTTTAAGTAGACTATTGAAATTTGCAGACAGTATGAAAGACTGCCACAGATGCTGACAGCTAGCGAGCATGAATTGCACAGAAATGGTATGAGACTTTGAGCAGTATTTGTGCCTCTTGCTCAGCAGCAGCAGTCTTGTATTACAATATATTTAAATTAGATGAGTAAGCTTTTTAAGATTGCTGTGTATTCGGTGGAGAAGAGGACATCACTATGTACCTTGCGTCTCCCCTTCTGGAGGTTCCACATTATCTCCACTGCAGTGAATGGGATTGGTTGGAAAGAACTGCATTTCATTTTCCTAAAGACTTACAAACATCCAAGTCTTTCATGGGACCAAAAAAAAAAAAAGTTTGATGCATTAGCTAAGAGAGAACCTTTCACAGTGATCCTCCACGGTGATGCCTCCAAAGACTTGGATACATACGTGTATGTGGCCGGATACTGTTTGCATGGAAAATAGGATTGCTAGGGAGTGGTAAAGCCAAAGATGAAACTACAAACTACATGAAGTGAAGCTCCTTAAAATAACATTGACATTGAATTGTATGCCACTGTGTAAAAGAGGAAAGATCCTATGCTCTTTCATGCTTAAATTGGTGGGTTTTTTTTTTTTTTTTTTTAGGAATTAGTTTCATTTGATCAAGAAAAGCAAATCCTAGAGCCTGGTCAGCCTCAGCTTTCTCCTGGGATTTCAACAATTAACCTGCATCCACAATTTCCAGGTAGTTTATTTGGACTTTTCTTTTAGTAAGAGACAGTGCTTACAGTCCTTCAATGAAATGGAAAATGATGTTTGTAACAGAGATTAATGAAAAAATGGCTACAGTTTAACAGGGAGTTCTTACATAAGCAGAATACAAAAATAAGAAAAGGGAAAAAAAAAAGAAAAAAGCATGGAAGTAAAAGTGGGAGGAATCAGCAGGTATTAGTTAGAGACATTTTAAGAGGCAAAGATAGATATTGTAGGCAGAGGTGATAAGATGGAAAAATCTGGAGTATGTACATGAAAAATTTAATGTCAGCAAAGCTGAGACCTTCTATCTCTTTCAAGATGAAGCTTAAGTCCTTTCTTTATGCCCAACTTCAGCGGCAAAAGTTTGAGCATTTTATTTGCTTTCTTTAGCACCTTAGTTCTTTTTTTGTAAGAGTTGGGACAAGAGAAAATCACCTTATACTCTTTTTTTTTTCTCCTACTTCAGCTCTAAGCAGAGTAAATTAATGAAAAGCTCTGTTGTGTCTGGCTAGTTCAGTATCACTTGTGAATGCTGTGAGGGTTTGGGGGGCTTTTTTTTGGATGTGATTGATTTCCATTCCATGTCACACAGTAGTGATTGAGAAAACATCTCCTCCTCTGCCTGTGGAAGTTGCTCCTGAAGTCTCCACTTCGAGTGCAAGTCAAGTAATTGCACCTACTCAAGTTACAGGTATTGTACTTCTTTTTTAGAATTAAAAGAAATAATGTGTGACTGTGAGTTCCTGGCATTATAACTTGTTCCACTCTAGTATTTAAATAGCAAGTTTAGCTGTAGGAAATATTGAAAGGAATACTCCATGGAGAGATGCAAAGAAAGGGTACAGAACAACACAGAGAACAGTGTGCTATTAGCAGATCTGGGATGGACCTTCCCAGTGTACAGTTGCCACTTTTTTTGCCCACAAAAAAAACATTAGATGCAAAAATTAATAATTCTGCTTCAGATTACCTGATTTGCAGCTGGCAAGACACTGATGTTCACTGATGCAGGCTGGGCAAAATCACAAAACAAGTCAACAGCAACCAGTTGGAAGAAACCGTCTGAGGAGTAACAAAGTTCACTGTCATGTTGTCCGAGTTGTCAGAAATTCAAAATGTGAAAGTCAGAGAGAGAAATGGGATGGAGAGGAGCCTACATATATTTTTTTTCTATTGTTCAAGACTACCAAGAAGCCTCTGAAGGTAGAGAATATGATGAACATTAGATGACAATGAAGGTTTGAGTCATGTGAAAACACTGATAAAGAAGCAGTATCACCTGATACTGTGGGATACTAAATCAAGGGTTGTAGGCTTAAAAAAAATATATTATTAAAATCAAAACAGAGACCTCAAGACAGAACAATTCTGCCAGATGCAAGATGTAGTGGTAGATGATGACTTTCACTCACAGTCTGTCTGCCAGGTAGGTAACAATAATAAAAGTGCTTTCTAACAAAAATCAGCAGGACATTGTTATTCTCATTTTTGTCCCTTGTCTCAGTTGTCCCTTGTTAGAAACAGTCACTGTTTGCCTTTTTTTTTTCTTGCTTAAAATTTTGCTATAAATTTGTGAACAGAATGTTAGTGTGATGTATATGATTACACAAGACATTTGCAATATCGAAGTGTCTGATCTCTCATGATAATTCTAGCAGAAGCTTTAAAGTGACTGGAAGATACATGTAAATACTTCAGTATACATTATTTTATGTAATAGAGGTGTCTAGGCCTACCAGGAAGTTCTCTGGTTTGCATCTGGACATGTTTGAGTAAAAAAATAACTCTTAAAAGATGACTTTTCTTCATGCAGACATGACCAGCGTGTGCATTTTTGATCTGCCTGCAGCTTGTACAGGGTGCATGTCACCCTGCTATCTGAGGTATTATTCTCCTGAATTTTCTGACAGAACAGAGAAACGATCTTGTCCTCTGTAAGCACTGAGCTGCCTGATCTGATTACTTTGAATAGCAGTTTGTCAGTCCCCTTAGAAAGCTCTATGAATGGTAAACGTCAGTGCAGAATTTGGCAGTCAGCCGTGCCCTGGCTGTGCCCCCTCTGCCAGCTCCCTCCCCGCCTCTGTGCAGGAAAGGGAAGTTACACCTCTGGGTACCCTCCATCAGTTAGGAAAAAATTGCAGTTTTCCATGTTCTGCTGCTCTTTCGCTTTCTCAGGGGAAGAAAAAAAAAAAAAAGAGTGGAATTGCTGTGTGCTGCAAAGGAGGTTAATTAGGTTACTTGTTATAATTCCTAAATGAGACAACCTATTGTTTTGAAACAGTTCCAGGGCGATACATTTCATTTAGGAGATAGCAAAGAACAAATGGGGTAAGATTTGCAGAACAAAATAGTAGGATAAAAACACTGACTGTTGATAAAGTGTTTCCACTACCTTAAATCTGCACTGTCAGAGTTGGTTAAATTTCATTTTAACCTATTTCTAAGTAGACTGGATTAATAATTCTTTAGGAAGCATGACACTTTCAAAATTACCATTTCATATTGTTATATAGCCTTAATTTAAATTGCCGCTAATCACAGTCATTATTTTTTTTTTGCAGTAATATATTTCATTTGAGAATTTTCGAAACTACTGTGAAGGTTTAGCAGCCAGTACTGCCCAATCTGAATCTCCTTTTCTTACAAAATATGTTAACAAATACATATTCCGTAAGAATAAGAAACCCTCCAGAGTTATTTTCTTAACCTTGTCTGAGAAGATTAAATTGCATAATTTTTTGTTTTTATACTATCTTCATTTTAGTCCTTTTTTTTTAATGTACCTAAATCTTGGATAGTACATGAAACTATGTCACTAAGGAAATATGAGATGTTTTTCTAGATCTTCCAGATAAGTTCCTCTTACGAAACTGTGGATTTACCAACTTGATTTACAGTTGCTTCCCAGCCAGGTCTTTCCATTCGAGTTGCAGAATATTGCACTTACTGAACTATCTCGCCGAGTTTAATGTTAAGAATTTTTATGTTTGCTTGCTTAGAAATCAACGAGTGTACAGTTAATCCTGATATCTGTGGAGCAGGACATTGTGTTAATCTGCCTGTGGGATACACTTGCATCTGCTACGAGGGATACAAACTTAACGATCAGCAGACAAAATGCTCTGGTATGAATGGACACTTTCAAAACTCTGTAATAATTCTGCTTTGAAATGCTTGATGTGTAGAGTCTGATCTTACCAACGGTCGTGTGCAACTGAGCAGTTGAGAGTTGCATCCTCTACTGAGTGCTTCCCAACTACAAAGAAAAATAAGGTTTTTTTAATGTCAGAATTTCCAAATTAAGTCTCTGATAGCCTTTCAGCCACTCTTCACTGAACATAAATTTAATTAAAGTTGAATGAAAGCCTTTCCATTGTGAGATGAGATCAAAAAAAAGTAGTGAGGCAGATCGTCTCTTCTCTACATTGAGTATCTATAATCCTCAGAAACAAACCTCCAAAAAGGTTATCTTTTGGAGGAAAAAATAACCAAAGTAGTGCTTATTTCTCAGAAAAGATGACTTGTCCCTTCCTAGCCACCTGCCTGCAGCTGAACTGAATCTGTCATTTTGTTAGTTTTTTTCCTTCCAACCTTCTTCTAAAAAGGAGAAAGTAAGTCATAAATATCCCAGAAGCACATGAGGAGATTTGGGATACAAGGTCTTGATCTCCTTCAAAGCTAATAAGCCCTCTTGGGTCTCTGAAGAGTGTGAGACTGCCCAGACTGGCTTTGTGTGAGCCAGTTCAGATCTGTAGCAGTGCCTTGCCTTTGCCCAGATGATGCCAGTTCCTCTGTCACACTGATCATGTGGAGATTATTAACTGAAGTTTTCAATTTATATACTGCCAACTTTTCATGCTGCCAAAAGTAGCTTCACCCTAGTACCTGTGCTAGTACATGGTGAAATTACAATATTACAAGACAATTTACACACTTACACACAGCCAAATGGCAACTTAAAATCCTTCTATTTATGCTTGCAGCTTATGCTCAGTTCGCCTTCAGGGTAGTGACTTGAACAGTATCAGTTCATGGTCTTCAGGCCAGTGCCCCCTTCATATATTCTAAGACAATAGGAGTGCAAAGTTTTTTTTGCAATCAAAACTATATAATGCATCATTTTATGTGGGTCTCAGAGAGGAAAACACTACCCTTTCAGATAATTATAGTTAACAAGATCAGTCTCTTCAAAAGCTTGAGATGGTGTGCACAAAAATACATTATCTTGTAACAACTAAATGTTATTCTGTAGTCTTATATTTTTATTTCTTTTGTAGATATTAACGAGTGTAATCAGATGCCCCATCTCTGTTCCCTTGGACGCTGTGAAAATACTGAAGGAAGTTTCCTGTGTATTTGCCAAGCTGGATTTATGGCCAGTGAAGATGGAACTGACTGCGTTGGTAATTATTGGTCTTCCTTATAAAAAAGAAAGATGAATCAAGAAACTTATCCAAAACTCAGTGAAGTCCCTTTTCATTTTTTTCCCTCAATGTCATTGGTACTGGACTGGTGCCTGAAAATGTTTAACTGTTTCTCACCAAGTATTGTGGAGATGAAAGTATTTGAGTGGCTTCTACTGATTTGCAAAACTGTCCGTTCTTGAGAAACAAGATTTTATTCAGTATCATTTTTTTATTTAGGAAAACTATCAGGCAGAACAAGCACCTTCTGAATTCGCCAGTACAAATACCGAATACCCGCTTTCAGTCATTAGCCCCCTGACAGGCCATAGGTTTAAATACAGAATCACAGAATCATTATGATTGAAAAAGACCTTCAAGATCCTTGAGTCCAACCGTAAGCCCTTCAACACCAGGCCCAGTTAATCCATGCCCCTACGTGCCTCATCTGCACCTTTTTTGAGCATAGCTGCAAGCAACCATGGACTCCCTAGACCGATAGAGATGGGCTGAGAGGGCTGTGATCTTCATAGAGTTAGCACTGCCCTGGGCATGACACTCACTCCGCGAAATGCTCTGCATTTGCAACCACGTGGCTGCTCCCTGCCCCTCTTCCTGCTGCCAGGTCGTTTCTAGAGCTCATCCTGTCTGATTTTACAAGCTGCAAGTCGAGATGGAACTGCTCACTAGGAACAACTGTGGAGCTGCAGCTTGCAAACAGCTTGCAAATCCAAGCGTGTTTTACTTATTTATTTATGTTTAATTAGAGCAGGTTTGGGAGAGATACAAGCATTTCGTGCTTTCACGATGAAGTTTCTTTTATTTTCTCTTCTCCGTCTCCTCAGATTTTGATGAATGTTCAAGACCTCACACTTGTGGGGAAGGCTTCTGTATAAATACTGTTGGCTCATACAGATGTGAATATTGTGACAGTGGATACCAAATGAACAGAAGAGGTGAATGTGAAGGTGGGTTTGGAGTCTTCACCAGTAACAGTGCTGTAACATGTGCTGAGCCAAACAACTGCAATAGGAGGAGCCGTTTGTTCATGTTGACTGTAGTGTTATTGACTGCTGTTTCTGATCTCAACAGAAAACTTTGTGTGCTACTTTATTTTTTGAATGAATCTGACTGTTAGTTGGAAATATTAAAATATTTCATCTTCAGAATAGATTTTTTTCAAGATTTGCATAATATTTTTCTACCTAATACACTCATTTAATTCATTTTAATCTCCATTTGCTATTTGTTTTCAGACAGATATCTTGTCATGGTAGTTTTATATCTATTTGTGCTCGGAGTTCCCTCTTCCCCATCACACTCTGTGCTTATTTCTATGGGTAATTTCTCTAGTTTAATCTTTCTGCCAGATATGTCTCCCAGCTACTTTTTGCATTTAATTTGCCTTCAGGTCATGTAACTTTCTCCTGTACAGCAGCTGAAGATGTCATAATATTCAAAAAGGGCCTTGCTTGTATCGGCAGAATGGTGCCAAACATACCTGCTGCTTGGGGTGGTTGGCAGGGCTTGCTCTTGAAGGGAGGCTCAGAGCCCAGGCTGGAGCTGCAAAGGGAGGATTCTCACAGGGTGCAAGCAACAAGAAACGCTTCTGAATTCTCCCAAGCACTTCCAGTTGTTTGGTGTCTGGATCTGCAATTCAGTTCCTACTAGCTAGACTTAAGACACTGCAAAGCAGTTCCCCCACTACAAACACAACCCCAAATGGCTTGTGGCCCAGGACAGCTACATGAGGGGGGAGAATGCTGCAGAATCCCCTAAGGACAAGGAAGCAACAGGACCCTCCTCCCTGTCCGCTGACAACACTTCTGCTTCCACAAAGATTCATCGTTTCTCTTTTCTCCGATGTTAATAATAGACAGCAAATGATAGATTTTGTTTATTTCATTTGGGAAATATATATCTACCAGATACTTCATGTTACAAGACATCCGACCTTCAAAATTTCACATTGCTTTTCAATATAATATTTTTGCCTTTTTGTTGTTATTTTCCTCTCTAATTTCAACAATGATTGTGCAATGGGGAATTAAACAGTTAAAACATTTAATTAAACAGCTATTTCGTTTTAAATATAGTTTTATTCATGTGCTAGTCCTAGTTACTTAGGATAACCTAAAGTTGCTGTGGATATATTTGCTGTTCTGAACTTGGCTTGAAAATTCATTTGCCTATTTGAGTAATTTTTTTTAACATATTTATTTTATTTATTTATTTATTTTACCTACACTACTCTTAAAATTGCTTCCTCCACATCTTGTCTGTCAGTAGGCAATCCACTTGACTTAAATAGACTAGGAGTCATAATATCACAGTGCATCAAATTTCTCATTAGCCTGTTTTTTAGTTATGCAGTGTTAGTCTTCTATCATTTAACTGAATAATATATAATTCTCAAAACCAAAATCTCTGTTGAAAGCTATTTAAGGTTGCTTAAGGGGCGGAAAAAAACCCTCCTACACTAATCTGTCAAACCAAGGAGATGACACATTTAGGAATCATTTCACCACGTCATTACACCTACACAGGATAGTCACCATCCTGGCAGATCCCAGATTTCCCCAATCTCTCCCTTCCACCGCAGCAGCA